AGATTTGGTTGCACTTATAAGATCTTACATATATTATATTTTTAAATTAATAATAATATACACTAAGATCAATTATTTTTTGGTCTCTGTCAATTCTTTCAAATAGAATAGACTGTACATGATGCAACTAAGGATCTCACATCTATTAAAGTTAAGAAAAGAATCGGTGTGTCAAGTATGATTGTTTCTCACCTTTCCATTACTTATTTTCTTCTTTCTAGCTAGGGTCGACCCACATTTTGTTTAACTGTGTTAATTTGAGTTTACCAAAATAAATCCAAGTTAGTATTTAGAGTTTGACATGACACACTTTATCACATCATAAGGAGACTTCTTCCCACATTTCCACATACATGAGAGATTTTTCAGTGTGGTTGGAACACGATCTGGTACATCAAGTGTCTTAATACAAGTGGTTAAATACTTGAAAAAAATTTCCAACCATTTATTTCATGACATTTTGGTATATCCGACCATGTTTTCGTCACTCTGAAAAATTTCTCCACATACATGCACCCACACTTTTGGCTGGACCAGTAGCCATGATGAAAATATGCTTAATTATTCCATTCAAAATATGTCCATGTTTCTTTTGTTTATATATCTTATTCAAAAATGTCATCATTTTATTTTTTGGAATACAAGTAACGTCATATATATATATATTTAATAAATATGGTGCAAGTGATCCCTACCATCAAACTATTCCAGAAGCATATCTTAACGAATCCCAGTGATTAGAAATGGTAGGATTTCATGATGAAATGAGATCATCATATATGTTTTCAACGAACTTAATTATCTATATACACCACAACTTGCGGTATTTAGGTTAAAATAGTATTTATTAGCTGCATGCGCGCATAGAATTAAAACTTAAATATATATTAGTTATAAAAGAACTTAATTTATCTATATACAGGTCAGGTGTTACATATTTATATTTAATTTTGGTTGGTATTTATATTTGTTGAATATAATTTTAGAAACATTTTAGGTTGTTGGGTTTTGACTCGAATAGTGTTTCAAAAGTATATTGTGGGTGTGGAGGTGCAGGTAGCTAGGTTTTATTGTAATATATACGCCTTATTTTTCTTTCTCAAAATCAATCTGGGACACGTTATTGTTTTATTTACATTTTAATTTTTAAATATATGATATGAGCGAGAATAATACATATTTTTAGTAAGTAAACATGTTTTTAAGACCTATACGTAATTGCCGATAGTACATGAGATTTAATCAATTATATTCAATTTTTCCAAGATCACGTGGACAAGTTATTGGGATATTGCTTGTCATTTCATCACGTGAAAGAAACCAAACACTAATCCACCGACAGAAGAAGTTGCTGGAACACATTGCCTTCTATGATTGTTAGAAATGTAGCCCCAGTCCATCTTTTCTTTACTCACACATGATAACAATACAAACAGTGACTAAAAGCAGTGAAGCACAAACGTAAACATAATTCCAGCACTAAAGACTACAATGCAGATGAAGGTGTGGATCTGGACCCCTCCGATTAGGACCCAGATTTTAGTGGAGGACACAGTTGGGATCTAATTAAAGTTAAATTACTTATATTTTGATAAAATACAGACCTACTTGTCCTTGTTGTTCCTTAATATTTGGACGTATCGTCTGCAGAATAATTTTTTTTCCACCTTCTCTGCTGTTAAACAGTGTGTCACTGCATTTTCCTCCTTAACCTAATTCTAGTTATTTATGGATAAACTTCCTTCCAGGAAGGAGACGTTTCCTTTATCCCCACGAATGTGAAATCATTTATCGTAGAAAGATCATAGGCCCTTTATCTTCTTCGACGAACTCAATCCAACTCTGAGCACACTTCCTCTCAGACGCTGTCGAAGGCCATCTCCACCGGCCTTTTTCTACCGCTCTCCTCCGCCCTCTCGGATCTTTTTTTTTTTTTTCGATTTCCGGCGACCCATCCTCCATTGGTTTGCTTTACGGTATAATTGGAATACTGGGTGTAAAGATTAAATCTGGATCAAAATAAAAAATTTCAAAAAAAAAATGGAGATGGTCCCTCACTTGTGAAAACAATGATATCACATTATTAAGAAAACAAGGATACAATATTATATTGGTGGAAATAGGGCAAACGTGGCAGCTACCCTTTGGCTCACGTGTTAGGTCAGCTCCATTTGGCTTACTACTTACTTTAAGTACCGCTGCCAAGTGTGATTTCTTAGTTGTCACGGGCATATTTAATTTCCGGCACCGACCAATACTAAATTGAAAAGAGGAAAGTATTTAACCTAACTCTAGATATTGTGATTTGCAGAAAACAAATTGGCACATAAATTATTGATGTTAAATGAAAAAGGAAAGTTTGAGCTGGAGAAGGACAGTATGTATGATTTGTCTAAAAGTGTGAGTGGGAATTAGTTCAACATAATTCATGCATGCTCGTGGTTTAATTGTAAAATTCTGTTAAATTAGATCGGTGATGTACATGTTATTCAATAGTAATGAGGAGTCAAAAATTTGTCGTTATTGGTTGTGATAAAGTTTGTCCAAAAAAAAAAAAAAAGTTTAGAACATTTCATTGAACACTTCGTCGTATTTTGTAAAGAGAACTTAAAAACATAAATTATTACTAGTTGGTCTAGCATTGCATGGTTTCTTTATTTAGTAAAATAATTTGAAATTCGACTTATATGGATGAAAAAAATGATGTATGTTAACCGGCCATTCGATATTAAGTTGTGACCTATTGTAACTTATTGTGGGTAAGTTGACGAAGTTTTGTAAATCATATTTGCAAATATCATATCGCTTTTTTTGTTTACAATATAGATGTATGAAGCCAGAAGGCAAAAAAGGTGAATAATTCGTAATTTTGAAATTGACTGTCCTTAATAAGATTTTAAAATAAAACAATTATTTTAAATAAAATTCCGAACTAACAAAACCAAACTACCCACGTTGGTAGTTTTTCTTCTTTTGTTTCTTTAACTTTTTAAACTATAAAATATAAAAAATATTTTAAACAAAAAAAATATACTAAAAAGTACAAATAAAAAATAAAATATAAAATAGCAAATTGTCACACGCATAAGCGTATAGCGAAAGGTTAGTGGTTTTATAATAAGAAAACAAAAAAAGAAATATGAAGACAATGTGTTAGTTCACTTTGTTTATGAAAACTAGTTTTATTAAACCAGAAGAATAATGCCACTATCTGTATATAAATTAAATTAATATTAATCTAAATTTTTTTAATACAAACAACGCCATCATAATTTCAAACTAAGCTTTTCAATTCAATCTAAATTAGATCTCAAAATGAATTGGCTTACTGTTTCTAAAGTATAATTTCGTTTCAATGCCTCCGCTTAATTTCTGTTATTTCATGTATGCCCCTACCCGAGGAAACATATAGACACTTTGTTTAGGGAGCTTGAGATTTAGTAAGATAACTAATTAATAAAACACCAACTAATATTGTTGATTGCTATTTTATATTGTTGTTATATTAATTTTGGTTTAAATTAGTCTTAGTTTTTTTTTTTTGTCAGAAGTTTAGTCTTGGTTGTTGATTACTATTAGTTTGAGGCTAATTACGACCATGGTTGTAGACTTACTGAAACTAAGAATGCTTGATTAAAATTACGACTTGGATAATCTACCATCTCTTCATGGAGCTTAGAACAAACGCCATCGTTGACTAGAGAGGTGTACGTGCATACTTTCTGATAACTATGGACGTATGTATCTAAATTTAGTGTTCGTAGTATATCTATCTTTTGAACAATGAGTGGTTAAACATTGCCAATTTTTTGATAATTATGAACCTATGTACATAAGTCTAACTTTTATAGCATCAATATCTTTTGAACAATGAACAGTTTAACTTTCGCAATCTTTTGATAAATATAAACGTATGTATATAAATCTAACTTCTATAACCTCTGTTTCCTGTATGTATATATTTCCAAAACATTCATGCCATGTGCACTGATACTAATTTAAACTTTTCGTGCATAGAGTCAACTTCTCTTATCACAAGCTTATCTTAATGTCATACAAAAATACCCTCAAAATATTATATGTTTTTTTAATTTTATAAATTTGATATCAAGATTACAAATAAAACAAAATACTTAACTTGAGCATTAAGAAAATATTCTTAATCATTTGAATTACAAACCCTTAAAAGTAAATTAGTATTTCGTAAGATAGAGTAGCTAATTGATTAGTCATACTTGGCAAAAGGAAAAGGTTGATAGATTCGTCGGTCATACAAAATCGAACCAAAAGGAATATTGAAAAGTGAATAACAAAATTTTAGTGCATCCAATACCATCACCTTCACTGTACAAATAAGTCAAAAACTTTGAACTTGTGGTACCCGCCAATGTTACACACCCCATATGCTTTGATATTTTTTTAATATATTTAAAATACAGAGAGTTATTTCATACGTAATCATATAAATGGTGGAAATTTTGTTTTTTTAAGTATTCCTATAATTGCATAGGATTACATATGACGTACGGTTAATGTGTTCCAATCATACTAAAAAAATTCTCATACAGTATAATGTGCATCCTATATACATTTATTATGCCCATTTACCTCCCATGTTCACCGAATTTAGATTTTATATCACATCCAGAGACTAGACCACTTTTTTGTCACAGAGTTATAACGAAGTTCATCCATACATGTGAGTTGAAGGTGGCCCCACCCCACAGACCACCGATGCCATCTATAACTAAATCTTGGGTGGAGTTTTTTATTGTGTTCGGATGGTATATTCTGTGTCATTCTATATAGGTAAATTTTATTTTTAAATTATTAATTTATAATATAATTACTTAATTTCTTATATAATAACACGCAATGTACAATTTCATGGCTAAGTGCTGCTGAAAAATCTCTCCAAAACCGTAGTCTCTTGCTGAAAAAGCCATTAAACAATAATAACACATGGTTAAAACAGCTCCATCAGAGTGCGTTGAATTAGCAGTAAAAGTAGGTCCGCCCCCGTCTCTTAAATTTGCTGCGCTTTCCTTTTCTTCCGCTGCTCTGTGACTGCTTTTGAGTTTGCGACCCTGAAACGGAAAACCAAAGCAAAGCAAACCAACCCATCTCTCTCTGCTTTGTAAGCCTTTATAATCCTATTTGACATGAATTTCGAGCACCGGCAACGGAACAGCAGAGCTGCCAGAAGCTGACCCAGATACCAAAACTACCCCGTTTGGACTCCCCTACATTGCACTGCTTGAAAATGGTGCAAGACGGCTGTGGCGGAGGACATGCAGAGGCGGACAGCTGCGGAGGCCGCTCGGTTGTGGTGGGGGTGAAGCTGGACTCGAAGAGTAGAGAGCTGCTGACATGGGCTCTGGTTAAGGTTGCTCAGCCTGGTGATCGCGTGATTGCCCTCCATGTGCTCGGTAAAAATGGTGAGTGAAACTTGGGTGGAAGATTAAGGCTTTTTTTCGTTTGGGATTTTGGGTTTTGGTGGGCTGGAGTGGAAATTTACTTGTTTTGGTGGATTGGGTAATTGCAGAAATTGTTGATCGAGATGGGAAGTCGTCGCTTCTTTCTCTTGTCAAAGCGTTTGACTCTGTTCTTGCAGTCTATGATGGTTTCTGCAACTTGAAGCAGGTTAATTTCTCGCTATTTTTTTGTTGTTTTTATGCTAGAATTTTGTTGTCCTTTTGTATAATTTTGTCATATCCTCTGTTCGTTTCCTGAGAAAATGAAAAATGTTGTGACCTTTGAGTGAAAATTTGAGTTAAAACCAATTGGAGAGTTTAATCATTTTTTCAGTTGCCTGGCAGAATGTTAAAAATGTTCAGATTTTTTATGAAAACTTTTACAGGTGGATCTCAAGCTTAAAATCTGCAGAGGAACATCAGTCAAGAAAATTTTAGTTCGGGAAGCGAATTCATATACTGCAAGTAAGGTTATAGTGGGAACTGCCCAGAACCACCATAAAATCCGGTCATCGACCACCGTGGCCAAGTACTGTGCCAAGAAACTGTCTAAGGATTGTGGGGTTCTTGCTGTAAATAATGGGAAGGTTTTGTTTAACCGAGAAGGCTCTCAAACAACTTACTGTGACCCCCAAGGTATTTAGATTTTTCTAATTTTACGTTGCTTTTGATGATTTTCGAGTCTGTAAATTGTTTAAGGTGGGATTCTGAGTTGAGGACTTGTTTGCAGGAAGTGAAGAGCATCGCCGGAACAGTTTGCTCAGCGCATTTCACCGATCAGTGTATAAGTCTTCCAAAGTACTAAATGAAGGCAGTGACAGTGTGACCTTAAAGGACACATACGGTCAGGTTAATTGTCAAAACTTGGAGCAGGGATTAGCTAAAGTCTTTCTGGAATGCTCGGAGAGTGTTGAGAGACAGAAATGCTCAGTTTGTTCCCGGCCCTCGGTAGATAGTTCTTGTCACCAATCTGCAGAAGAGTCCTCGGATGACGGTGATAATAAATATATGGCTATAGTGCCAGTGCAGAAAGAAGAGGCACTAGCAGCGAGCTCAATTTCTACGTTGATCAAAGAATTACCGGAAGTGAGACCTGGTTGGCCACTGCTTCGACGGGCTGTATTACCAGACCGACAATCTCCAGAGAGGTCTTGGGTCCGGAAGATCTCAGTAGTTCAGTGGGCAATGCAGTTGCCCAGTAGACAGCATTCAACTGCCAGCAATTTCGATGAAGGGAAAAATAGTTGTGATTCAGATCAACCTTCCTGTTTGAATGGTGAAAGTGGCGCAATTGTTGCAGTGGGTGGTGAGGCAATGACTACCCCACCTTCACCGGACTACAATTCAAAAAGCCTGCCCAAAGAATTGGAGGGACTGCATGAAAAGTACTCTGCTACTTGCAGATTGTTCAACTACCAGGAACTTCAGTCAGCTACATCATACTTCTTGGCCGGTATGTTGTTCACGAAGTTCATATGTGAGACATCCTATTCATTTCCCGATTTGTATTGATTTTTTTTTTCAAAAAATATATTTTCCTTTGTAATCCCAGAAAACTTCATTGGGAGAGGCGGTAGCAGTCAAGTTTATAGAGGCTGCCTTCCAGACGGCAAGGAACTTGCTGTTAAAATCTTAAAACCATCTGAAGATGTGTTGAAGGAGTTTGTTTTGGAAATAGAGATCATTACTACCTTAAATCACAAGAACATTATTTCCCTTCTGGGGTTTTGTTTTGAGGATAACAATCTCCTCTTGGTTTATGATTTCTTGTCAAGAGGAAGCCTTGAAGAGAATCTCCATGGTATATACTATATTTCTCTGGGTTTTAAACATTACAACGAAGAACAATAAATGTCTACTTACCCTGCATTTTTGTTTGAATTCTAACGTGATTACAACTTTTTCTATTTTTTCCAAATCAGGAACTAAGAAGGATCCCCTTGCATTTGGTTGGAACGAGAGATTTAAGGTGGCCGTGGGGGTAGCTGAGGCCTTGGATTATCTGCACACCGGCAGTGCACAACCTGTAATCCACAGGGATGTCAAATCATCTAATATTCTACTATCTGATGATTTTGAGCCGCAGGTATACATCTGGTTGGTTGTTGCTTTTAAAGATGCATTTGTTTATCGAATTGTCAGTTTTAATAGTATCTTGAAATGGGTTTTCAGCTCTCTGATTTTGGACTAGCAAAATGGGCATCAACCTCATCTTCACATATAACATGCACTGATGTTGCAGGCACCTTTGGGTTCGTTACTTAATCTCATTGCTTTACCTTTCATTGTCTTTCTAAAGAGTCAAGACTTCCATTTTTCTATAAAGATGAATAAAATTTCCAAAATGAAATTCTTTTTTAAGCAAAACATGGAAATATGAGATGTTGATTAATTAATAACACTATTGCATTTTTCTGCAGCTATTTGGCTCCTGAATACTTCATGTATGGCAAAGTAAACGACAAAATTGACGTGTATGCATTTGGTGTTGTACTCCTCGAGCTTCTTTCAGGAAGAAAGCCTATAAGCAGTGACCATCCAAAAGGCCATGAGAGCCTAGTCATGTGGGTATGTCCTCTTCTCCCCTAATGTTTAGCAGTACTCCATGCACCTCTTGATGTTTGTCTCTTGAAAGAAATTGAATTATTGAAACGTCTTGTACAGGCCAAGCCAATTCTAAACAGTGGGAAGGTGTCCCAACTATTAGATCCGCGTTTGGGCGATAACTATGACCAGGGCCAGATAGAGAGAATGGTTTTAGCAGCCACTCTTTGTATCAGACATGCTTCACGAGCTAGGCCCCAGATGAGCTTTGTAAGCTGGATCCGATCCCTCTTGAGTATCCTCCCATCAGTTTATAGCATGAAACAAAAATCTCTGAATTAATATTTGACAAGATTGTATCTGTCCTTTTGAGAACAGATCGTGAAGCTTCTTCAAGGCGATGCAGATGTGACTAAGTGGTCCAGGCTGCAAGTTCATGCCATGGAGGAATCTGAAGTGCTCGAAAACGAAACATGTCCACGTTCAAATCTGCAGTCTCACCTTAACCTTGCACTGCTTGATGTGGAGGATGACTCACTCTCCATGAGCAGCATTGAGCAAACTGTCTCCTTAGAGGACTACCTGAAGGGGCGGTGGAGCCGCTCATCAAGCTTCGACTAACAAATTCACAAGCACAACAATGCTAGTAATTGCACCTTCCCGTTTGTGTGATTCATTTGTATATTAATCCCCACCGTGAAAATAAGAAAGGTAAGAAAACAATGGCTTTGACATGTTGTGTGAGTGTTTGGGTTATAGTTATGGATGGGTTTAGGATGAGAGGTTGTTTGTGTTTGTGCCCTCCTCCTTCCCTAGCAGTCGTAAACTAGTCCTTATTTGTTGGACTGGTTTTCCTGGTTGGTTTTTTTTCAGCTTACTTGTTGGTCTCAATCAGACCAAGAGTTGGGACTGTTGTAATGTTCAAAGATGAATATGTTGTAATTCTGGTTGATTTTCATTTTCCTCCGAGTGAGCTTAAGTCCATACGAGGAAAACTTACATGAAACTGTTGCATACCCTATTTTTTACGTAAATCTTTCCATTTCTGTTATCATGTGTCATTATGTGATGAGAAAGATTGTCATAGATTTTCTTTATGTCTTGTCTTCAAAGATAACGTTGATTTTCATTTCCACTATGTACAAGTCTAAGCATACGGCCAAAGGAGAAAAATGAAACCGTTGCATGCCCTTTTTCTCTTTCTCGAGTGATCTTTAAGATTGTGTTTTCATCTTTCTCATCGCCTGCCGAGAAAGATAAACACATGATTTTATACAACTAATAATAAATCAGATTCTCTATTCTGTTTCTTTCATCACCAAAAGATAAAGAGAGAGAAGCGGAATGCAATGGAAGATACTTTAGTTTTTCTCGTTTTGAGTACTCGGTACACAATGTGCTCAGATCTAAAAAAGAGAATTGTTATTAGCACTTCAAAAATCTCATTATATATTTCAAATTTTCTATATTTGGAAAGAAAAATACATTTATGAGGAGTTTATAATGAAATTTTTGAAGTGCCAATAACACTTCTCTTAAAAAAAAAAGGGCAAATGCAAATGGAAGTCATTATCCTCCCTCCAACTTGTAATAAAATTAGTGGACCATACTGTGTTGTTAGATTATTTTCCACAGGACCACAAATCACATGGCTCTAAATCTTTCTTCATGCCTCTAAAGTCATGAGGGTCTCCCAACACCTCAAAAGCTACAACAGAAGAACCACCGCCACTTCTATGGACCAAAATTCTGGTGGCCAAATTAACAAGTCACCGACACCTCAAAACCCATTTTGGTCATTTCCACAGCATCCGTAACTTTCGCAGCAAGATTTTACGGGTGAAATAAAGGATGAATGTACCATGGTTGACCCTTTAGGGTTGTGAGTACCAAATGTAGCTGGATGAGAGTACTATTCCTAAGCTAAAGTAGAGAGAAATGTCATTGGCAAATAGTTTTACCACACCACCACCTCAGTAACCATTTGGCTAGCTGAGAAATTCCAATCAAATTATAGGCACCAAATGCGACAACAAAAAATTCAAGCAAATCATAGGTATCAAATGTGACTTTCAAGTATCTTATGATAAGTAAAATATATGTTAAAAGATGAGTGAAAAGTTATGTAACGTGACGGTGTTACAGTATTTATGTTTGTTATTTCACAGTTACTGTACTCTAAAAGATTTGGCAGGTAGCTAGGAAAAACTTTCGACTGATAGAAAGTACTGGTTGGTGGCAATTTATACCCTCTCTCTAGAGGCCCGTGCCCATCTCTTCTTTCCCAAAAACCCTAATTCTGAAAGCCTCCTGGCCGTCGGTCATTGGTTCCGGCTTGAGGTAGGTGGGTAGCCTGACTTCCACTCTTTCGTGACTCCTAGCCCTCCTTTCTTTCAGTAGCTGGGGAAGAAGTGTTTTAGGGTTGCTCTCCATAACGGGGAGCGTTCCAAATTCTAAACATGGGTAGGGTAGAGAGATTAATCTGACGGTTATAAATCATGGAGTTCGCATGGTTGCAGAGCATCTCTAAAGAATTAGGCAATTGGTTGAGGCAAAATTGTACTTTGCAGATGTGGCATTTTGTCTGGAATTGGATGCTCTCCTGAGCTTAGAAGGCAGAGCTTCCAGAGCAAATCATATGAGTCGTTGAAATTTAATCCAACTATTATAATTATTATAATTTTTAAAGAGAGGTTTGTAGCCGTTTGATCAAATTATCCTTTGCTCACGAGGTTTAGGCTCCTAAGCTCGGAGAGGATCCGGTTCCCATTTGCCTAATTAAGATGTCTAATGGACAAGGCAAAATAGGTAAAGGTATATCTAATACTTTTTCATTTTTATAAAGGGAAGTGTTATTAGCGCTCTAAAAATCTTATTCTACACTCCTCACAAATGTATTTTTCTTTACTAATATAGAAAGTTTAGAGTGTAGAATGAAATTTTTGGAGTGCTAATAACAATTTCCTTTATAAAATAACGATGCTATTCTCACGGCTCTCTCAAATTTTAGTTACAAATCGAATGAATTGAAAGGATCAATAGAAAGGAAAATGAAATGCGTAGATAACACTACCCTTAAAATAAGGAAAACTAATGAAAATGGTTTGAAAATTTTGAGTTTTAACTATAAGGACAAAATAAAGGGTAAAGTGAATAGTACCAGGATTAATTTTTAGTGTAAAAATGTGGTTTTTCGTTAAAGTGAACAGTACCGTAGACTTTTCGTTAGAACTTCTCTTAAAATATGGTCCAACGTGTGTTAAGAAAAATATTTTATTACCAAATTACTAGCCGATGGTGTAGTTTTTTGCTTTTATTATGGAGTGTGAATAATTTTTAAAATTAAACATGAAAAATAGGACAATGATGAGGCGCTTTCTTAAGTGGACATTTTTTTTAAAAATTTTTTTGTTTATTTAATTTTTAGATTTTGAATTAGGACATGCTATGCTTTATATAGTTGTGCGGGTGGCTTAAAAAACAACAAAATTTATGTTGCATGTAATTACTAATTTATCCTTTTAAAATACTTTTGTTTAATTTTAATTAGGGGTTAGAATAATAATTTTATAAAGTTTTAGTTGACAAACATGATTATAGTAGAGTAAGCTCTTGCATGATGACGTGAGTTTGAATTCTGTTAGTGGCTAAATTGACATCTAATTTAACAAAATATATTGTTTGACAAAAAAAAAAAAAAAAAAAAAAAGGAGTTTAGATTAGGGGATCCCAAATTGCCTTATATTCCACACAAAGACTATTTTGCCTCATGAAACTTCCCTAGGCATTGGAGCCACGTTTTGCTTACGTGGCGCAGAAAACCAATTCGATTGGGTTGAATGGTGTGACGTGTCGTGTTGCTTTGGAAACTGTCAAAGATATAACACACTCTATCGGTTTCAAAGTGTGAACGCAAGAAACTGCCCACCAAAAAATAAAAAAAATAAAGAAAAACGCGATTTGACTGGATTGGATTGGATTGAATTGGATTTTCAAACGAAACGCGAAGCACAAAGTCGCATAAGAAACAAGAAGAAGACGATCAGAGAAGAAACCGAAGAAACGAAAGATACGCCGTCGATGGATCCCCCGCAGTATCCCCACCACCTCACAAGGTACGCTCCTTCTTCCAATCCCTACCCTTCCGACAACCATCCAAATTTGCCAAACTACCCTCACCGCCACCACAACACCAACCACAACTACACACACCACCACCACTCACAACAACCGCCACCACCACAGCAATTCCTCCAACCTCCGCCCCCTCCACCACCACCCCAAACGTCGCCGTATCACTCTCTTCCCCCACCGCCCCTGCCCCCGCCCCCTCCCCCGCCACATCTCACCTTCGAGACCGAACGCTCCAGAACCTTCCTCCCCCTTCACGACTACCCCGTCTCCTCCCCTCGGTCGCGGTCGCCCATTCGGAGCGCCCTCGCCACCACCGATTGCTCCAATTTGAATCGCCTTACGTCGAATCCAATCCCGTTTCTTGGGATTCTTCTAGGGCTTTTCACGATTACGATCGTGAATTGCATAAACCCCAATTTAGGGTTGAATCAGAGGGTAATGGTAGTGCTAGGTTTAGGGCTGACTACAATGAACAGCTGCTCCGGGACCATCGGGCCCCCGTGGACGACGATTATATCAGTCGCCGCCGTGCTCGTGCAGAACCCAGTTCCGATGGAAAGTATCGCGAATTGGGGTTTGCGTCAAGCCAGAATTTGAAGAGTCTTTTAGATTCGAATTCGGGTGGCTATGATGGCCGGTATGATGAGTTGAGGAGTGGTGGTAGGAGAGATGAGGTGCATGAGAATAATCAGAGATGGGTTCGTAATGATAGAGAAGCTACTAGAGAGTTATATGATCCATTCGTGTTCGATGAGGGTAACAGGGGCCGGAATGTTTCGGCGAAGCGGGATTATTATGGTTCAGAATCTGAAAGAGGGAGTAGTACTAGTAATAGGAGGAAGCAGATACAAAAGAAGAGTGTTTTACTCAGGCTTCAAACGGCGAAACCTAGTCACCGGAATGGTTCTGCTTATTTTGATAATTCTGGCTCTAGTTCCCACAAGGGGAAAGGATACTATGAGTATTCGGGTCGCGAGATGGGTGAAGTTGAGAGAGGTGCGAATTCTTTGGAACTTGATGTTTCTTTTAAATCGAATTCACTAGTGGCGAAGGCAGTTGGAAATAGGGATGCTAAGATAGATTCAGTGTACAGCAGGGATTTGTCAAATTTGAAACTCAGTAGAGACAGTGAGAATGCTGCACCTGTACGTTTGCGAAGCTCCATAGTTGTTGCAAATAAGACATCCAGTTCAGACAAGGACCCACGACAGTTGGAAGAGGAAGTGAACATATCTGGTATGGAGAATAGGTGTGATATCGAACAGCCCGGTTCTAATGCGACCGGTGATTCTTCTGGAAAGAGTGAAGTGGAAAGGGCTACAGAGGGTAACACAAAGGGTAAGGTTTTACAAAGAGATGGTAAAAAGGCTGGTTCTGCTCAAATGTCTTCTCTTAAGGTTACTAAGAAGAAAAAAGTGGTGAAGAAAGTAGTGAAAAAGGTTGTAAACCCTCGTCCACAGCCAAAAAAGAAGATTGATGAACCACAGGCAGCAGATAGCTATATTTGTAGTCCATCTACAGCCTTTGGGACTGAAAAGGGTGAAACCTCTTCACTGAGCATGGTATCGGATGAACATGGCACTGATGCCAACTCTTGTAGTAAGAGTACTGGGAAAACTTCAACTTGTAATTTGGGTTCTTCAAGTTGTGAAGAAATTAATATTGATCAGGCTTGTCCAACTGTAGATGCTTCTGTCCAGGGCTTGCTTAAGAGTTCAAATTTTACCAACAATGTAACTGATTCACTTAGGGTAGCTACTTGTCCAGAAACTGGTTGCGTTGTAGATGTCAGCAAACAGATATGTCAGAGTGGAGACAGTTTATCGCTTGATAATGTCATACGAACAGAGTCATCAGAGTCCAGATTGTCTGTAGAAGGCAATGCCAATTCTGGGCTTTTAAGTTCAGAGAAAACTACGACGCATGGAGACATTATGAATGTAAATGGCTCTGGCCATGGTGCAGAAACCAACTTGGATATTGACGGTGGTATAAAAGTATCTTATCAAGAAGTCATGGTTCATGACATTGGCAATGTGGATGCCATCAGCGAGCAACCTTGTACACATCAGCTCCCAACATCACTACAAATTGGTTCTGTGGAAGAACTTCCAAAGGCTATATCTTCAGCAGAAAGCAGCATGACTGTTGGTTTATCAAGTTCGGGGAAGACCTTTGCTGTCTGCTCCGATGATGGTAGAGGTACTGCACGGAACTCTGATAAAGTTAGTAATGAGAATATTATTGTTCCTAATGGTGGGAATGCCAATTTTGTCGGCACGCAAGCATCTGCAGATGGTGCCTCCAGATCATTTGTTAGTTGTGGACACCGAAGGATCTTCAAAGATTGCAAATTCAGCTGGAGATCGTAAGAGTGTTACATTCAAGATTAAAAAGAAGAGAAAATTTAGGACTCTGTTAGACTCTTCAAGAGCTTCCAACACTATTGTAGAGCCTAGAAATGTTTCTGCCCATGAAAATTCTGTGGATATGGCAGTAAGTTCATCCCTGAAGGATGCTAGTTGTGCAGAAGTTGCTGTTTCTGGTGTTGAAAAGTTAGATACGGGCTCTCAACCTGATAATGACGGGGTCAGTGTTCTGCGTGGGAACAGCTCACTAGATGGGATTTCTGAGGCTAAGTTATCAGCTAGAAGTGATGTTAACTCTGATCCTGATGAGACTTCACTGAAGTATATAAAGAGGAGAAAAGTATCCACCTCTCATCTGGTAGGGACTACCTCTCAAACCAATGACGGACCTGCAGATAACTCTACATCTTATGCAGAAGCACCTTGGACTAATGATGATCCAACACAAGAAGACGAAGTTACTGCTTCCAGCATAGGTTTTCTCTCTGCTACTGCTAATTTAATTCCTTCTCAAGAGGGAAGCACTGTATTATTTGTGGATGATTTAGCAGCTGTATCTGCAGCTAGGGATGCCCTTACTAATGATGGTATGAACTTTGAGCACCAAGGTGTTGAATCATGTACACTTTATGAAGAATCAGTTCCGGATACATCATTCCTTTGTCCCTCACCATTGAGGAATGAACAAAAAGAGGCTAGCACTCAAGCTCTGGTTGTAAATAGCCATCAGCTTGACATTATGGACGTAGAAAGTAACCTAGAAGAAAATTTTGGTATATTTTCAACAGATGAGCAAGTTATGATGCAAGGTGAGACTGCTCTATGCAGCGTTTCTTCAGAAGTCCAGCCTCCAGACTCAAGCAATAAATTTTCCTGCACAGACATGGAATCAAATTATGTCTCTGTGAAGGAGAAATTGCCCGTTGAGTCAAATTGTCTGTTGTTATGTGCCAATAACAATGCAGTATCTACTACTAACTCTAATGATGAAGGAACGGAGTTTGTGCATGATACAGTATCAGATAAGGGTTCTCCAGAAACTTCAACTGATGTCCTTTACATGCAGATGCTACCTTGTAGTCCATCAGTTATCAAAATTTCTGATGAAAAAGCTGGTGGGGTTGACCAGCAATTGGATTTGAAGTCAGTGGTTGAAGGTGGTTCCAATGCATTGGCTAAAAATTCATCATCAGGTGGTACCAATTCAGTGATGGGGAAGTCAGTAGCTTTACCTTTGCAAAATATCAAAAAGACAACTCATGGTTCGAATCTCGTAAGCACGGAATCTGGTTTGAAGAACCAGCTGGGTCAAGCTACTCGTGGGATTGTGCCAGGTCGTTCATATTCGGTCTCTTCTACCTCAATGAAGACTGCCTCTTCAACTCATATTGCAAAGCCTCGGACTTGGCATCGAAATGGTAATTCATCTTCATCTCCTCTTCCTGTAAGCATGCCTTTATCTAGTACTGTTCCACCCCAAAGGCAGTTGCCACAAAGGAATGGAAAATTTCAAAGTAATTCGTATGTGCGTAAAGGTAACAGCCTTGTTAGAAAACCTCCAGTTGCTGCTCCGCAAAGCTCCCATGGGTTTAGTTCAGCTATTTATCAGTTGAACTCTTCATGGAATAGATGGTTTGAAGAAGAATGCAGGATCTGACAGTAGGATTGATGTGAAAATGCCTCCAAGTCTCATGAGAACTGGAGAAATGAATGCTCCTTTTGATAGGCCGACACCCCAACTACCTATTGCACCCATATTATCTACTTGTCCTGCAATCTCTTTCGGGGTTCGTGCATCATCCCCGGTGTCTGAGCCTCTTAGTGGTGAAACCAAGTTAGATCCTATGAATTCTTTGGACACCAAAGATGCACAAACATTTGCCAAGGACTCACTGACAATTTCTGAAACTCAGGAAAATCAGAGTGGTTCGCTCAATAATTTGGAAAACCAGAATGTACTGCATGATGAGAATTTGGCACCTCCAAATACCAAGAAGATTGTAAATGGAAAGTGCACGTTAAATCAGTTGGTTGCAACTTCAAGTCCTTGTGACCTTCCGGTCCACAGTGCTGATAAGATCCAGCACTCATCTTCTGATGGCTACTACAAGAGGCGCAAAAATCAGCTAATCAGGACATCTTTGGAATGTCATGCTATCATGCCTGATGACAATTTAAACTTACAGCTGCAAAGGGTTCCTAAGATTGTCCCCAGAAGAACATATGGCAAGAAACGATCACACAAGGGTATGCTGTTAGAACTTATTCTGTTATGTGGTCTCTAAGCAGTATTTTTTACACTTACACCTAAATTCTGAAATGCATTTTCTGGATCAAGGCAAAAGTGGATTTGTTCAGTTCCATTTATTGATTACTGCTAACTGTTAGCATCAGGGTTCTTCTATTTCCTGGATGTTGTCCTTTTCTTCATCTTTTAGACGTATTGGACCTCTGATCTGTAACCTTTTCCAACTTAAGCTCTTTTCATATTTCAATGATGATATCATTGTACAGATTTGACCCTTTTTTGGTTGAAACTCTTCACTGTTTTAGAATCTTATTACCTTGGTTTTCTCGTACAGCTGTTGCAAAAACAAGTAAAACTGGAAAAAACTCTTTGGTGTGGACACCGCATGCTACACAGTCATCAAACAATGATGGTGGTTCACTTAACCATCAGAAGGTAGTGCCTTACCTGTTTCCATGGAAAAGAGCAAGACACTGGAGGACTTTCATGCAAAGTCAGGCTTCCAGTTTCAAATATAGTTCCGCACCCACAATCAGGTATTTGATTCTTTTCTTGTTTTGAAAATGCAATTAGATTTGAACACATTTGTGTATGTTACTTAAGAAAATCAAATATTATCTCATTTTTCAGTAAGAAATTGCTGTTGTCAAGAAGGCGGGATACTTTGTACACTAAGTCAACCCACGGCTTTTCGCTTAAAATGTACAAGGTATTAAGTGTTGGTGGGGCCAGTTTAAAATGGTCAAAATCCCTTGAAAGGCAATCAAAGGAAGCTAATGAGGTTTGTTGGCTGGTACCCAGTCAGGCTATTATTTCTTCTTCAAAGATAATCCCTTTTTTATTTAAAGTGAAGTAATGGTTTCCAAATCAGAAACTGCTCTGTCCCCTATCCACCTCAATTGTTTCTATTAACAATGTCTAGGAAGCTACACGTGCTGTTGCTGCAGTGGAGAAGAAGAAAAGAGAACACAATGGTGCTGCATGCATTAGTTTGGGGTCTAAGTTTAGAAATAATTTGTCAGGTAAGTCAGTTGATAGTGTAGTGAAAATGTAGAGCCATCTGATGTGTCAGATGCATGACATTTCTTGCTTGTGGTATACCTTCAATATGTTTCCACATAGTAGTGTTGCTTGATTATTAAGTGTCTGATGATATGGCAGGAAAACGTATATTTCGCATTGGTTCTGTCCGGTACAAAATGGATCCTTCAAGGCGAACACTAAAAAGGATTTCAGGTGAGCTGCTTTTTATTTGCTCCACATATCAAATGTCCTTTTCAATATGAGCTTTAGTGTATACTTTTTTAATACTTATACATTAGGAGCTTGATTTTCAATTTCTTCTGGCCATTGGATGTGGTCACCACATGTTCTTAAGTTTCAACCTTTCTTTCTCTTATGAGTAGATGGTCATATCTAGTTTTGGAGTGATTGGGAAGAGAGTTTTTTTATATCTTCGTGATTTGGAACCATTATCTTTGGCTCAGGATGTGCCTCTGATTTCTGACTAATTACAGAACTGCTGATTTGTATTTTGGTAAACAAAGGGGACGAAAGGTCCATACGATAGAAACAGAATTGCTGATTTCTGTCAATATCGTTTTGGACATTCTTTTAGCATATTAATTATATAGTTAATGAACAGTTGCCCTCACACTGGACAGTGTCTTTTCTATTCATGTTTGAATCACATATAGCCGTATGTTCCAATTCCAAAGAAGTATTATAAGGTGATTAACGAAGTGTTTTTCAGTTTTGGAGGATTTTTTTTTATAAATATTTTAGCATATGTGGGGGTACATCTTATCAGCAAATTGATCGTACAGTATTCATTCATGTTCTGTGTAGATGACGAATCGTCAAGCTCTGGTGTGCTCAATCCTGAAAAGGATCCCAAGAGATCTTATGTTCCAAAGAGATTGGTGATTGGCAATGATGAGTAAGTTGCTGTTGTTTATGCCTTAAAGATAGATTCCTGAAATTAATACAAGCAAATGTGAATGCCAATTGATGGTGTTGACACACGAACCTCCAAATTATGGTTGCATTCTTCTTAAGTTTTAAAATTCTTGGATATAAATGCATTTCCATATTGGCAGATATTTGCGGATTGGCAATGGTAACCAGCTTATTAGAAATCCGAAGAAGAGAACTCGCATATTGGCTAGTGAAAGAGTCCGATGGAGTTTGCACACGGCCAGACTGCGGCTGGCAAAAAAGCGGAAGTACTGTCAGTTTTTTACAAGATTTGGGAAGTGCAATAAGGATGATGGAAAATGTCCCTATATCCATGACTCCTCTAAAGTTGCAGTCTGCACAAAGTTTCTGAAGGGTTTATGTTCCAATCCCAATTGCAAATTGACTCATCAGGTTTACTGTGTGACAGGACTTCATGTGATCTACAACAGAACTTTGTACTTCTTTTTGGACATGTTATCCTTTTCTTTTTATTTCTTTATTTATATTTTATCTTCATGCAGGTCATTCCTGAAAGAATGCCGGACTGTTCTTACTATTTGCAAGGTGCTTTCTAGTAACATTGTTCTAGTGAAGCTACTAATAGAATTAGAAAATTCTGACATGTTTCCTGGCAGGTTTATGCTCCAATCAAAATTGCCCTTACAGACATGTGAATGTGAATCCAAAGGCATCTACTTGTGAAGGATTTCTTAAGGGCTATTGTGCTGACGGGAATGAGGTACTGTCTTATCATATATACGCTTTTTTGCTTGTGTTTGTGTTTTTTTTATGCTGGTTTGAATCCGGAAGTCTGGGACTCGTTTTACTTGCTAGTACGGAGCCCAATTGTTTAGTTCAGTTGTGTATGTGGTGTGTGGGCATGCATGTTGATTTTGTAGGCAATGAATTTGGACATACCAGATGAAAAACTGCTCAGGTTTGGTGTATTATGGGAAGGGGAATGGTTGAGATGAAAAGGGGACTAGAAAGTTAACTATAGTTGAACCTATCCTTCAATAAAGTAGACATTGAATATGTCGAACAAGAAAGAGAGTTTCGTTGATAATATTATTATTGAGATCTGCCTGCACTCAAGAACATAGTGAACAAAAGATTTAATTAACATATTTATGGAAAGGGGGTGTGGTGAGTAAAAGTATTATTTGTTGAATTAGGGGAATGTGGAAAATAGTTCGGGCTGTTGAGTAATAATCTGGGTGCAAATAGAATTTCTGTTTGTCATACAGTTATACTAGATTTTATATGTAAGGCTTGATAACTCTTATCTGAGCAAACAAAGATACACTAGTTTCGGAGCAAGTAAAATAGAAAATATATCTCCCTCACAGTGCCGGAAGAAGCACAGCTATGTTTGCCTGTCCTTTGAAGCAACCGGAACCTGTCCGCAAGGGCCTAAATGCAAGCTTCACCACCCCAGAAACCGAGCAAAGGAAAAGAAAAGAAAACGATCAAGAGAACACAGAAATGCTTGGGGCCGTTACTTTGTTTCCAAGGATATAACTGTTTCCAAACCGAGAACAGTGTCTGGAAAGCAGTCTGCACAGAACAGCGATGACATAATTGTTGACGGAGTCGCTGATTTCATTAGCATTGATGTTAGTGATGAGGAGGTTGGAGAAACTAATGATCCAATACAGGAGCAAGCTGCATATTGTGACAGCGATTCGTCGGAATTGGAATTAGATGATCTTGATGAACTGATTAAACCGATTCGTTTACTGGAAAGGTTGAAGGCAAATGCTTCATGACAGACGCAGCTCAAGGGGGGACAACATGGAATTAGCTATGGTATGCAGTAATTAGTCTGTTGTAAGTAAATTTTGTTTTCCCAAACTTTGATTCTGCAATGGCGAGTATGACCGCCATCGCATAGGAAGACATACAGAGAGTATTATACTGGAAATAAAAGAGCAGGTGCAGGAGAATCCGCTGTTCTTACCGGAAACCCGGGGCTCTTCTAGCCAATCCATCGTCCTCAGATTTACCGGAGGCCTGCACTCTTGTTATAGGTTTTTATTTTTTTCTTAGCCGGGGAATTGAGATATTTTTTTTTTCTTTTTTCTTTTAGCTTTTTCCTCCCTACTAAATTGTATAGTGTACATTTGCAACACTATCAAGTTTCTAATAAGAAAATATTGCATTCATGTTTTCAGTGTAAGTTTTCCTCCAACCCGAGTTTTCTGAATTTATTTTCGATCTCTGCTCTAGCCCGATGGAACTGTTATTGGAATTTTAAAATAGTTATCGGACACTTTTTAGATGTAATTTTAAAATAATTATCGGACACTTTTTCGACACGTCAAATCTTTCATGTAACTCAATAAAATCATATGCAATTATGTTACAACAAGTCAACATTTTAGCTACAACTTACGAATTGATGGCTGTTAATTTTCTGTTTATTTTAACCACACACAACTCAAGCTCCCAAGTATAAAACAAGAAATCTTATCCCCACAAATAAGTGGATCAATGTTCGTTGGGGCCTCCCACAATTTCGCAAAAGTTGGAGCACCCAAAAGCAACATCATTTCTTCACTTAAACCACATATATAAAGATTGAACAATTTGGCCTGTAGCCTATTTGCATTCAGCCATGGCAGCAACAATGGCAAAGTTTCCACTCTTGGGCTATTTTGGAGGCAAAAAAAAGCTCCAAAAGAGAAGGGATTTCTCCGTAGCAGCTCAGCAGCCAGAAGTCCAAGAGTCGCAGGAGGAGAGAGAAAGTGTGAGGACAGAGAAAGTGCTGGGAACGGGAGGCACACCACTGAGGCCGGTGGAGAAGCAGGTGAATGTGGAGAGCAAGAACATGGGGAGGGAGTACGGTGGGGATTGGCTGAGTAGTGCCACGAGGCACGTCAGGATCTACGCAGCTTACATTGACCCAGAGACTTGCGCCTTCGACCAGACTCAGATGGATAAGCTTACTATTATTCTGGACCCCACCAATGAGTTTGTGTGGACTTCTGAGTCCTGCAACAAGGTCTACTCTTACTTCCAGGAGCTTGTGGATCACTATGAGGTAAGAGAAGCTTTGATTTTGAGTCCATTGAAAAACCATTTGGTGCTCTTTCATTGTATGTGTGGTTACTCATTTATACCTGTATCGTGTTTGTGTTAACGCAAAAGTGAATCAACCCACAAAACGATATCACGACAATAACTTATATTATTCATCAAAAATTTGAAACACATAATTTTATTAGTATAATATTGCTTAAATAATGTTAATGATGTACATATCAAGTCGTGTAAACAACAAAACCTTAAACCGTAGAAAAATTGATCAACAATGCATGTCAAGCTAATGCAGATTTCTGTAATTTTTATAGCTACAGGTTGTAAATGTGATCACAAACATTAGGTTGGACCGTATCCCTCTTTCCTTTGCATTAAATTCAACCTAACAGAAAAACCACGTTTCTTACATTTGAAGTTGTAACTAGGGTTTCAATGTCTTGTTTCTTGTTGAGACATTAACATTTCTATGTGAAAAATCAGGGAGCTCCATTGACAGAGTACACTCTCCGTCTGATCGGTTCGGACATCGAGCACTACATAAGGAAGCTGCTATACGATGGGGAAATAAAGTACAACATGGATGCCAGAGTCCTCAACTTCAGCATGGGCAAGCCTCGCATGATGTTCAATAACAATGACATTCAACCTCAAGATGTACAACAGTCATAAGATTTCAACACACTGGCTGTAAAAAGATGGTGAATATTTATATTAATTAGAGTCTGATATGTTAATTTCTTCCCCTGCATACCTCTGAGCGAAGGAGGATGGGGGGGTGCGAGGGAGGGAGGGAGGGAGGGAGGGAGACAGAGTCGAATACGATTTTAACATATGGTTAGTATTTTCTACTCCAAAAGTGGGAAAGGTTCCTGAACCAGAGCCTATTTTAAACCCTAATTATCTACATACTAAAATCTTACCAATGTACTTGTCAAACTTGTTTCCATCGGAATCTGAAGATGGTGCACGAACTCTTACTTACGTTTGCCTTCAAGTCCCCTTTCTGTAAGTCCAGCCTTCTTATCAGATGGTGGCAGCACTTTCAAACAAGACGAGTCATTCCAAGGACAGAAGCTTTCATCTTGGGCCACATTCTAGCAAAAATATACAATAATTACACAAATTAGAAGAGCGTTACTAGACGTGAATCCAATACCCATCAGCTGGGATGCACATGTACGCAACACTGACCCTCACATGCAAAGTAACGCGTGCAAAAGTCATACACCATCACAGAAACAACAATGTAAAGGCATGGCAACGTGTGATTTTACCAACACAGAAACAACAATGCAAAGGCATGTCAACATGTGCTTTTACCATGTGCGGGAACATAATACCAAATGAAATACCTCCAGTCTTAAAACAGAAGTCTATTTCAATATAGGTATCGAAAACTGATCAATCCCAACAAAAATGAAATCAGTATATCACTCGACTAAATGTTAACTAGCAATAAGATAAGTGATAACCCTAGTATCAAGCACAGACATACAACAAAACTCAAAAAACAACTAACCTTCAGCCAGTAGAAAAATCCCCGCAAGAGATTCAAAACTCTAGGGCGGTCACCACGAGCTGCCGTAATCTTTCTTCTCAGAACTGCAAGGTTTGAAGACAAATTAATTAAAATAAAATACAATCAACTTGAAAGGTTACAAACAGTATAAAGAAAAGGATCTAAATCCTTGTACTTTTGGTAAGGAGCAAATTATATTCTCGATGTTTGCTTCAGTTCATCTAACTGTTCTAACACAAATACAGGTGGTGTCACATACAAAATCCTTCTTAATTATGAGAGAATCCGGCAGCCACAAAATCTCAATAAAACATTATCTCAACCTACTTTCATTCAACAAATTGAGCATTTAAGCTTTAAAACTTCTAAGTGTTGTATATCTTGTTTTAAAATTCAATTCAGACAAACAGGAAATAAAAAATGTTGAAAGACAAATAACAGTAAATTGATGCTATGCTCCTTTACTCATGCATAATAAAGAAAACCAACCTATGTGCTGTTTTAGATATGAAGGTGCGAGTTTCCCCTCAACTGGACAGGTTATTGTTCTATTGCGCAGATTTCTGTCGTGCCCCAATGGCTTTCGGTGAGTCGCTTCTTTCAAGAGGCTTCTGTACTCTTCATAGTCATAAGGCCTGGTCAGAATATCCATAAGCCCCTTCCTAAACTGCGAATGACTTGCATCACGAGTTTTAACGCACCGCCCACTGTCTACATCCACCTATTAATTTGCAAAGCATTGACAACAACCAGCAAAAGACAAATTTCAGATACTACGAATCAATAAAATCACTCATATACAGACGTATATGTACTTGCACAAATGCTCATCCGTGATGTGTCTCTGTGTGCGTGTGTATGTGTATGCATGTAAAGCATAAAATAGAAAAAACAAACCAAAACTGAAACGGGGGAAGATACATACAGCTGTAAATGAAGTAAAACTTCTATTTGGAGGTGAACTCTCTCCATCATCATCCAGTATCACCGGTCTACCATTTGGAGGTGAATACACCATTTTACCATCATCAAACTGTAGACAACTTAAAAGCTTTGTGTAGTCCTCATCTTCTAATCCGCGCTTGCATCCTTGCTTGGCAAACCGGAGATCCGCCACACGAGTTCTTTTAACAGGGCACTCCTTTGTGCTACCTTTAGCAGCTTTCTCATTTGCACATCCTTGCATGGTAAAATGAACAGCCTCCACAGGGGGTATTTTCAAAGGACGCCCCCGTGTGCTACCATTTGCAGCTTTCTCATTTACATTCTTCTTCTTCTTCTTCTTCATTGAGCTGTTTTCCAGAATTGCCCTGTTTTCTTTCCTCAGATCATACTTAACAATTCTTGGGCTCGCAATCACTTCTTTATTCACAGGAAGAGCAGAATTTTTAAGGCAATTTGTGCATTTTCTCTTCATACTCCTCCTTAAAGTGCTTTGAATATCAGGCTTCTCTTTCACCTGAGATTTTTTCAAAGTTTCAGGGGTGTCAAAATCGGGCCCGTCAAGTATCTCATTTTCTTGTTCATACTTGATCACTTCTGATTTCCCATTATCTCCAACAGCTTCCAACACATAAGACTTTCCATCTTGCCTCAGCTTTTCCAAGAATATCTTATACTGAGGATCCTCATCATCAAGACTATCATCCAGAGACTGAGTGTTTTCACCACCATCATCCGCATACCTACCGTTTGCATGGACATCATCATCATCATCATCATCATCATAACCATCATCCACAGACCTATTGTTTGTGAAGGACTTTCCACCTTTCGTCAATTTATCCAAGAGTATCTTATAATCAGGATCCTCATCATCACCACCGTCAACACCATCATCCAAAGGCCTAACCTCAACGTTGTGATCGCCATCATCCACAGACCTATCATTTACATTGACATCACCACCATTCCGATCATCCACCCATCTATTGTCAATATAATCAACATCACTGCCATGGTCAGCTAAAGAACTCAAGAATGTCTCATAATCCTCATCCGGTATCAGTTCTTCAACTTTAGTACTGCACTTTCTTCTTTTCTTGGTGGCACTGCCGCAGGAATTGGGCTCAAATATCCTATCGGCCACACGCTCTCTCTTCCCCCGCCTAACTGATCCCATACCCATACCATCCTCAAAATCCTTCTTTAAACTGTTGAGCTCTCTTATCAATGTAGTTGGCGCCATTTAGCAACAACCAGCTACCAGCACACAAATACAAAAACCCCTCTTTTGTCTCTCACACTACTTCTGCATTACCAAGCTTCTGTTTTCTGAAAACGCAGAAAAAACAAGAACAAACCAAAACAAAATCAAAATCATTCAAGCAGAAACCAGAACATGAATTGTGAGTCTGTGACCTACAATTCTTTAACGTCAATGGAAGAGAGAAGCCCCTTTTGGTTCCTGAGAAAATGCAGGAAAAGAAAAAACACTGAAAGAGCCCAATTCCTACTTTCTTTGAACAAAATAACAAAAAACCACCAACAAAAAACCTTAGGTAAGCAAGTATAGGACTTTCAGAATTTTCGTGGGTTTTCTCAGGAACCAAACAAAGGCAAAACCAATCAAGAACCAATTTTTACACTTTCTTTGAGAAAATTAACGAAAACCCAACATCTGTGAGACTCAAACAAACATAAAAATAGACTTTCAAATTGGCAGAATAATTCCTTAAAAAAAATGCAGAACAATAAAAACGTAAAATCGTTGGGGTGTTGGTTCTTACCTCGTTGGAAAAATTTGAAAGCCGAAGAGTGAACAGACAGAGAAGGCTAAGAGGCGACACAACTCATAAAGAGATGCAAAGACTTGTGTCCTGAGCTTTGGGGACTGACTCTTCGACTGATCACTTGAGTCTTGACCAAACAAAAACACTTCCACTGACCCTGCGCACTTTTTTTATTACTAAAAAGATGCGTTAGGTTACCAAATTTACAAATCAAATAATATATCATTAATAAAAAATAAATATTTTAATTAACGTTTAAGTCATAATTTAATAATTAATAGTCACATTATTTAATTTGTAAATTTAATTTACAAATTTAGTTTATAAAATTTAATTCCTTCACTTTGTCCTTACTAAAATATTACACACATGTATGTCTCACAATTTTATGATGTCTTTTTGTTTTTCACTAAAGAATCCCTATTTTCTTTTTAAATTCCACTAGTAATTACAAATTTTTAGCAGAAAAATGTATATTCACTTTCTCTAAACGAAGAAGTACATAGTGAAGCAAATATTGAATACAAAACTTAATGAATTATGTGATGCCAACCGTATATCTCTATTAATTAATAAAACCTTCTTTGTCAACCAAAAAAGGGTAAAAAGACAACTTAATCTTTTATCACACAAAAAAAAATGATGCCAATACTGTAATTTTACAGGTCCAAATTTTACTGTTTTTTATTGAAGCCTCACTTATAGGTGATGTTAAAATATCTCTTATATTATAAAAAATAAAAAACCAACCAACCAACCAAAAACAAAAACCTTCCACTCCCCCACATTCTCTCTCTCTCTATCCCTCTCTCTCTCTCTCTCTCATTTTCTAAAAAAATATGTTCATACACAAAAAATGTGTAGGCAAATGCTAGTTGATGATTAAACTAATTTTTTTCTAGCACTAAAATTTTAACCTCATTGTCACTCTTAGCCTCGCTCTCACTTTCAAAGTTTCTATATGCACCAATGTCGTCATGCACTCTAAGGCTTAAGCCTCAAGTAATGATGGGGCAACACCAACCAAAAAATCAAACGAGTTAAGAGTCCAAACTGGACATAGAACCAATCAAACCGAAAAAACATGATATCAAAGCATATATTTAACTCGATTTAGAGGAGAATTGTGTTAATAAAGAAATGTAAGATGAGAATGAGATATAGAGGTACAATTATATGCGTGGAACAATTCTTTATCCTATGTGAGCATAGAATCATGGAGATTTATGTATATAGATATTCGTCACTTATCATATTTCAGACAGACAACTGATGATTGAAAACCAATGAATTAGAGTAATATTATCCACACCTCTCTTTATCTTTCACAAATTTCTTTTAATTCTTGATTGTCGACCGAATATAATTAAAGAAGACCAAACATATAAATTAACAGACGGTGTGTGAGAGATAAAAAATAAATAAATTGTGAATTACACACCCATGAATTATTCTTTGTCGCAACTTCAAGCGGGAGACAATACAACGGTTGAAACAATGCAAGGAGAGCTGAAAAGATTTTCATGAATTTTTTTATTTTAGTTTATTTAATGGAGAAGTGAAGAGATTCTTAGGTGATGATATGCTTTTAGAATATGCTTATTGGATGGATGGAGAATATTACCAACTGGCAAGTAATGGAGACAAATATCAACCATCTTCAAAGTTGAGTTGAGAGCTGAACCTTCCACTTAACTTTAATAAATGGTGGTTGTTTCCATGTCCGAGGTTACCAACTTACCTAAGTCATTGTCAACTTCAATGTTTGGTTTCCGACCATAGGAAATTTTGGTACATACCCATTCAAATCACCTACATTTGATTAAAAGTACCTTATGTAATCTAGATAATAAGTACGTTAGCACATCTCTAATCGTGAAAAGCTTAAATCGTTTGATGCTCCGATTGCAAACAGGCTAACAAACTAAAATAATTTAAGAGCAAGCTTGAAAGTAAGACGATTTTATCAACTAACTATACTTTTGTACTGACACATCGAGAATTTGCTTTCCAAAACAAACCATCGAATTTCGAACAAATCCGGCGGCCGAGACCGACGGCGTGAAACGGACGTGCGCGTCCACAAAACACACAGCCAGACACGCCACGCAAGCAGTGGGCGGGCCCGAAATTAACTAACGTTTTTCGCGACCCGCATCACCAATTTAACCGCCTAACTCATATCACAGACTCCGTTTCTCTGTACGCAACCACCACCTTCCTCCCCTCCATATTCCTCCCACTGTTCATCACTCTCTCTCACTCTCCCTGCGGACTTTCGTCGAACACACAGCGACCTTCTACCAACAATGGCCTCCGCGCTCGATTCCGCAACCGAAAAGCTCGCCAGCCTCGACATCGGCGGTTCCGCGCCCAATCTGCAGAAGAACCTCCACCTTCTGAGCACCGAACAGGTGAGTACGCAATTGTGATTTCTGCGAACAATTTGATGGCTTTATTTTATTTTATTTTGTGATGTGGGTTTGATCGGAACTGGTGGTGGAGTTGCAGATTGAGTTGGCGAAGATCCTGTTGGAGACGGGGCAGAGTCATTTGTTCGAGCATTGGGCGGAGCCTGGCGTCGACGACGAGGAAAAGAAAGCTTTTTTCGATCAGGTTTGGTGGTTTTTTGGTATCAATTTGCTAAAGATTTTTTCTTTTCTTTCCCGGATCTGAGATTGGATCCAAGTCACAGTTGGGTACTGTTTAATATCAGTTGGAGTGAGAGATATCGTAAGAGAAATTTAATAACATTGAAGGATTATTTTCTGCATAATATTGTTATGATATTGGGTTCTTAGAGAAATATTTCTTCAGTAAATTTGAAAAAACACCGTGACAAGTATAAGTTTTATGAAAAAAAAAAAACGCTTTAAGAGTTGAATTGGGGAAATTAAACTCGCGGCTAGCCACTTGTCATGTTCTAAATGATTATTAGTTGCGAAATTCCTTTGGTTTTTTATCCTTTTCTAAAGTAATGTTATGAAGGGTGGTCTATGTGGAAAGCCTTCTTTTTTCCCTTCCTTTTTATTTTTTGTCTGACAGCAAACTCGCTACAGGTGAGCCGGCTCAATTCAAGTTATCCAGGGGGTTTGGCATCATATATCAAAACTGCTAGAGAACTCCTAGCTGAATCGAAAGCTGGAAAGAATCCATTTGATGGTTTCACACCTTCGTAAGTGTATATTGGTGAATGTGTAGAAAATATATGATAACATACTAACATGTACTATATTGGATAAAGTTTATAATTCTGGATAATTTGTATAAAACCATCCATCCATATGGCTTCAGTTGATGTCACTGTACTATTAATTTTGTTTAGAGAATATTTGATGATTTAATGATTTTCACCGATATAAAGCTTGAAACAGTGATACTTGAGAAATGACTTTTCAGGTTCCAACAGGTGAGTCCTTGAATTTTGGCGATCATCGCTTTATCAGTTTTGAGGAGTCAGGTGTTAAAGAAGCTCGAAAAGCTGCATTTGTTCTTGTTGCTGGTGGGCTTGGGGAACGCTTGGGATACAATGGAATTAAGGTTTATAATTTACTACCCTTCATGGTCACTTAGTTTTCTATGAATTTCAAAATTTTCAAGTGCATATCATCTATCAAGATTCAAGACAACTTATCATAATTTTAAACCAATAATTGCTGACGGCTTTACCTGTTCTCTCCTTACTGTCTTCATTACCCCCCTCTGTAGCCTCAAGTATCTTCTCCTTGACTTGCATCTTTTAAATGCTGTATCTTCCTCCTGAACCAAATGTCTTCTTAGTCAAGCAGCCCCTCCTTTTTTACATGGTTAGATTAGCTATCTGAATCATATGCTCGTTGGTGCTCTTTTAAGCTTTTCATTGATGCCTAGGCATTTTATTCTGTTCTTGAATGTTATATTTCTCATCTATCTTTGGCAATGGGATTCTTGAGGTTTGGTAAGTTAATCTTGGGGACATATTTCTCAACCAAATATTTCCATAACATTAGCCATTGTTGGTCTATGGCCACACTAGAGCATTTTCTATGATTATATCAGGCATTTTATCTACTAAATTATCCTGCAATTATTCTTACTTGGTGGATCCATGCAAGTGCCTTAATGTGAAAGCGTACCTTCTTGCTCATTCGAAAAAACTTCAAATTATTGATGTGTATGATAGTGTAATCCCTATTGATTAAACTTGTTTACCCTATTGTTTTACATTGTGCAGGTGGCTCTTCCCAGAGAGACCACCACAGGAACATGCTTTTTACAGCATTATATTGAATCAATTCTGGCTCTTCAAGATGCTAGCTCTAAACTTGCATCAGGTTTGTTACTGGCTAAGTATCACACGATTTGTGGTTAAAGTTTGTAGGATGCTAGTGCTACCTTAAAAGCTATGATGTCCTTTTTCCTCTTCTATGTTTTAGCATATTTTGAATATGAAATACAAGTTTTTCAAAATCCAATGTCCACCTAGAGTTTTTATGAGAGGCTGAGAGCAGGATTCTTGGACTAGTGATACAGGGTTCTATAGTTGAACCTTCCCTCTTTGCGTTAAGGTTTAGGATATAGAGTTCAGAGGGGTTGGGCTTTTAATTAGGAAAGGCAGTTAGTTATCGTTAGGTCCTTGTCTAAGAATTCACTGTGAAGGCAATTGTTGCGTTAAGTTTTTCGTCTTCTCAATCGTAGCTAATATATCTTCCAAAATTTGTAGGTGAAAAGGCAAACACGAATTCCTTTTGTTATAATGACATCAGATGACACACATTCTCGTACACTAGAGCTTTTGGAGTCAAATTCATATTTTGGAATGAACCTAGTCAAGTCAAGCTTTTAAAGCAGGTACATAACTGGTCATTACTGCTTTGCTGAAGAAAGCTCATTGAAGATGGTGTATGAATTTCATCTAGAATGTTGCAGGAAAAAGTTGCATGCTTAGATGATAATGATGCCAGGCTTGCAGTTGACCCACGTAACAAGTACAGGATTCAGGTAACAATTACTTATATTTAATTAATTACCATATGTTGGGTGAATAAAGATCTAAAAACTTTGTAATCGCTTTTTCCATGAATTTTAAGTTTGTCTGGTTTCTCTTTCCTTTCTCTTTTTGGTAGACCAAGCCTCATGGGCATGGTGATGTGCATTCGCTACTCTACTCAAGTGG